GTGAATCTTTTCACCCCCCCCCCACACCTCTGGCCTGTACCCCAGATCTTGTATGCATAAATAAATAAATCTTTTTTTTAAAGTATTAAATATGAGAAACTCTATAAATGGATTAGCTCCCTGGCCAAGGATCAAATTCAGGACATAACAGTGCTGAGACTGAACTCCCAAGACAGGGAGGCTCTACAATGATTCTTCAGATTTCTATCTGATCATGACGTTGTTTTCACATCATTCTAAATTTCTTCATTTTTTTTAGGATACTATTTTCAAAAATTTATTTTTTTATGCATCCAAGAACTAGGGTATAGGCCAGAGGTGTGTGGCATGAGAGGCTTCACCAGAGACAGAGTGGGGAGCACAACAGGCAGATCTACAAAGTACACTGCTGAGGGGAGCAGCGGGCTGGAGGGGAGAGGTCTGCCTCTCTATGTGGTCACCTCCGGGCAGGCAGGCAGGCGGGCAGGCAGGCAGGCAGGTGGGAAGCAAACTCTTTTGCAAGTGGCTTTAACTTCTTAGTGCTGTGCTTTAACGCTCTGCATCACCAGGGAGGTCCAGGATACTATTCTTAATATGTCCTCAGAACTCTGTCAATCTCTCCATTTCAATCTCATTGCATCTCCAGTTCCTTGCTCTTTGGATTTGTGCCTCCAACATGGACGTAGCTGCCTGGAAAGCACTTTTCCTTTCCAGCCCCCCATCTTAGTCATCCTGCTATGTGGTCAGCATCACTGCCTCCAGGAAGTCTCCCCTATCTCCCAAGCTATGTTAGTGATCCTCAGAACACTTGTCTTTCTAGAGTGTAAATTCCAGAACAGGAGCCATGTCTTCCTAGGTTATCCTCTAAGTATCTAGGTCACTGGTATGGAGCCTCAGTGCCTGGTAAAATGCCCAGCAGAGATAGTCATTTATCTGTGCTGAATAAACACCAAATATTACTTAAACTTTTCTCGAATTATATGATCAATGATCCTAATGTACTGGAGATACTGGTACTGTTACAGGGTATGAGGAGGGGTGTCATAGGACCCCCAAACCTGTCTGCTCTAAATAGGTTCTGCCATCTGCCACAGCAAGACAATACCCTAGTGCATAAGAACTTCAATGGGAAAGAACTTTTATACAAATAGTGTGCAATAAGTCGATAAGAGTGAGAAAGAATAATTTCCAAACCAAGCACTGAAGTTACCCATATCCTAATGGGTAAATGATCCATCAAATAGGGTTGTTTTAACACACAACTGATGGGGCCCAAAAACTTGGCACAAGTCTAAGGCACCTTCTGGTGCAACTCACAGGAAAGGCACAGAGGGGCCAGGCCAGTTCAGAGGGCAAGGAGTAAAATCAAACTCCAACTCAAGATGGAGGCTGCCATGGTCAGCCTCCCCATGGGCCTCTCAGCCACGTCCCTGTCTCTTTCAAGTGTCTCCGGCCATATCCCCAAGTCCCTGGCACAAGTCCAAGGCTGAGAAGCAAGTGCAGCTTCCAGTCTCTGCTCGGTGTCTCCTTCCCCATCTCCTTCCCTGTCTCCACAGTCCATCTCTCCCTTCTCCTCCCAGTTCAGCTCCACCCTTCCCAGGGTGGGTGGGGAAGCAGGAAGCTTCTTTCCCAGGGGATTACTTGGTTGCAATGTCTTTACTGTCTTGCTGCTCTTGCTTCTATCCACAATAAGGACTCCAAGACAACTACATTTTTGAACCAGCTTGAGTTCAAAAAGTTTTCTCTCATTTCCCCTCCAGATCACCAGTTAACAGTCACTGCTAACTTGGGGGGAGGACAGAAAAGGAGTTAACTCTTAATTTTTTCCCCCTTAGCTGCTAAAGAGTGAGAACTCAGATAACAAAGTTGCTCAGATAACAGAATTAAATTGATCAAGTTTGAAGAAAGGACTTGGGAGTGCTTCTAAAAGCAAGACTTTCAGGCTTATGTATTTTCTCACACTCTTTTTGCTTTGTTGGTTTTCATCATTCTTTCAGGTTGCTAGATAAAAGAGTTCCAGATAAATGAGATGCAACTATTTTTTCCAGTGTTCATATTGATAATTTAAGATCATTCCAACAAATTTCATACTGTTAAATTAATCTTGAAGTGCGATGTCATCTGTTCATTTGCTGAAAAGCCTAATTGCGCATATCAGTTAAATACTTTCAACTCTTCCAACTGCTTAAAATGTCCCATAAGTGTTTTCATATATTATCTAACTTTCCAATTACCCCTACAAAGTAGTTTCAACAAGTGTGTTATATTACACCCACATTTTCTTTTAAGTTTTCAGGCAAGTGAGAACAAAAGTAAATTCTCTCACAGAGAGGACTTAGTAATATTTCTTGTCCTGAGACAGAGTTGGGTGTAGACTGGAGGTGTGGAGGTGAAAGAATTCACCAGAGACAGAGTGGAGAACAGAAGAGGCAGATTTATTGCAACACACTGCCAAAGGGAGCAGCAGGCAAGGCAGGAGAGGCCTGCTGCCCTGAGCGAGGGTCCAGAGGCTCTCTTCATATTCGTGGATTTGGTTAGGATGACAAGTCTTGGGGGTCCCCACTGATGATCTGAATTTGCATAAGGGATCATCAGATTAAGGGATCATCAGCTTATCATCAGCGTAATGCCCAAATTCCCCAGGGCAGTCCCATCCACTCACTCCCTTTATTCATTTAAGCTTCCCAATCCCACCTGTCAGGGGTAGAATGGTGGCTTAGTTGTGAAATGTAGCAGTGCTAACACATTTCTGACACCCTTTGGCTCTTTCTAGTGAGAACCAAAGAGAGAGGAAAAAAGTTTAAGGGTAATTTATACCATTGGAAAGTACACTTTCTTAGAAGCATAGGTTCTAGTCAGGGTTAGGTATAGGGCCTGGGATTAACTTTGCAATTAAAAACAAATGTTTATTTCATGTATGTGTGTGCACACATAGAATTGGAGCAAGTGCCAGAGGTCCGGGGGGTAAAAGGAGCCACCAGAGACAGAGTGGGGAGCAGAAGAGGCAGATGGAAATACACTGCTGAAGGGAGCAGCCAGTTCAAACTCTAGTGGTGACAGCGCTGAGACAAATTAATTCCTAGTCCACCAGGGTGGCCAATGCAATTTTTTAAAAAAGTCAAAATATAAATGAAGAACAAAATAACAAAAATGTTAACAAGGACAGAATCTGCACTTGCCACCACCCCCCTTCTAAGTAACCTGCTCAAATCTCAATTCTGTTTTTTAATGGTTGGCTGGCGAGGGATACTCAGCCATAGCATTGGGATAAAAATGCTGTGCCCTTGAGAAGGCTGTCTGAGGACCAGCTGAGCTCAGCACAAGGTAGATGCTAAAACCAAGCCCATCACTGAGGGGCAAATCTCATGAGTGATCCTGTAAAGTGGTGGTGGTATCATCTGTTTCTATGCTTGAAAAGACCTCAGCTATATAAGCATCTCGTGTAACTGCCAGAATCTTTGTCAACTATATACAGTATGTGTTAGTTACTCTAAAGAAGGATTAAAAGAGGCCTCCCTGGTGTCACAGGGGTTAAAGACAGCTCTAATAAGCTTTCCCCAGACACTGCTGGGGAAGCATGAGTTCAATCCTGGCCAGGGAGGTGACCCATATGGCGCAGCAGACCTCTCCTGTCTCAGCCACTGCTCACCTCAGCAGTGTATTTCAGCAGATCTTCCTGTTCTGCTCCCTACTGTCTCTGGTGAGTCCTCTGACCTCCACCCCCACCCACTCCCACCTCTGGTGGTATGAAATGGAATTCATGTTGCAGTGGCTGGGGAGAGCTTCACACAGCTGTCTTGTGTCTTTTACCTCTGAGCCACCAGGGAGGCCTCCACTTTGTTTTTATAAAAAAGGAGGATTAAAAGAAATGACTGAAAAGTATAATCACGTCACTGGGATTGTAGTGAAGGGAATCCTGTTTTGCAAGTCTGTTAATTCCACCTAATCATCAAGTCACCGTGAATATTTGAAGTATTTCCTAAAGCTGGTTCTGAAGATAATTCTAAAGTTGCATTGAATGGCGATTACGTTGGGCAGGTGTATTGTTTCCCAGGAGAGAATAGATTTTAAGACAAAAGTCATATTAAGTAGAGAATATTAGGAACAAAAATTATTTCCAAATAAGAAGTGCCAAGAGCAGACCCACCTAGAATCAGCCTGGTGTCAAAGCAGTGGTTCTATCTCAAGATTCTTATCATACTATCTTTCTTTGTACTTAAGTTTATCTCCCCCTCCCTCGCCCCTAGGCTCTCTAGAAATAGTGACGGATCTAGCTCATTTTCGAATACCGACACCAAGCTTATACCAGATAATCGACACAATGCATATTTAATAAATAAATGAATTTCAGTTTCGTCACGTCAGTACCAAGATTTCCACTTTCAAATCATCCATACGGTAGGAAGCCGGAGAGGAAATGAGCCCCAAATAACATCTGTTCTTAGTGACTGTGAAAAAGCATGATCTCCCAATGATTGTAAATGCAGGTTTGCTGCACACAAATATCCATGCCACCTAGCCTGTCAGTAGCAGGGTGTCCTGGCAGGGGCCGGTGCTCACGAGGGTCCCAGTCCAGCCCAGAGCACCTGCCGCGCACGCGCGGACGAGGGGCGCGCGCCTGCCCTCCGCCCCTCCCGCCGCC